TCCTGCCCGCGGCCTCCGCCAGCCCCAGCCGGTGGTCGCGGGGCCCTGGCAAGCGCTGGGGCTGCTTCCTGGGGAGGAAAGACGCTTCCTGCTGCTTGCTCGCTGACGAGGAGGATGGCTGCAGATACATGGTCCTCTTGCCTAATGGCTTGCTGTAAGTCTCTCTAGCAGGAAGTTGCTCAATAAATAATTACAGGTTTAATTAGAGAAGGCGTTGTAATACGGAGCTGTCTTCTGCCTCGGAGGCCAGTCTCTGACTTGTGACTGTTGGGCTTCGGTTGAGTTTCCGTGCGGTGCGGAGCACGGGTGGGATGCCAAAGGGGCTTCGAGCACGTGGTGTCCCCCAGACAGGGCTGCCGCGGGCGTTCTGGGGCCGCTGGCGCAGGTCCTGTGGCCAGAGGCAGCCTGCGACGCTGCTGGGCTTGGGACAGCAACATGCGAGCGCAGGAGCCCTGATAGCCGTGGAGCACCCGCGATACCTGGTCTGGATATTGGTTGTCCTTATGTCCCTACTTGCGCCTTGGCTTCTGTTCCCCACGACAGCGAGCGTTACCTGCCCTGTCCCCAGCCCCTGGTGTGGCACTCCCTGCCTCTGTGCAGGGCGCTCTGGGCTCCGTTAACTTAGAGCACCAGGTTTCGGACTTGGGCTTTGTCGCTGCAGTTCGAAAGCAAGCCTCCTTCACTATGTTTTAGCTTAATAGATCTTGTATGTTTGTGTACATGGACCTTTTCATAAAATAAAAACCCAACAGCTGGCAGAGTGCACACAGAGCTGCTGTGTGCGTTGCTGTAGACTTTGTCTAAGGTGAAGGTGCTCAGGGGAGGTACACGTGCAAGTGAGGTTTTCTCTAAGCCGTGGTTGGCAGTTCTGAGAACAGGACTGAGAAAAGACGGGGTGCAGTCTGCTGTGCGACTGACGAACAGAGCCTGTGAGCCCGTGGGCAGAGGAGGAGTTCTGATGGCGATGGAGCAGGGCCGGGGAGCGGAAGGTGTGACCTGGGCGTCTGCAGGAGAGCACTGTCCTGCTGTGCTGCTCTCCAGCAGCTGGGCAGCCACTCGGGGAAGCTGGCCCGTTGTGAGACCTGGGCTGAGAAGTGTGGCTCCTGCCGTGAAGCTGACCTTAGAGAAGTGCTCGGGCTTAAATGACAGTTAGTTGTGTTTTTTGAGTGAGGAGCCTCTTACCTGTGAAAGTTATCCCAAAAAGCGCAGGAGAGATCACAGCAAAGTGACTCGGGCCAGGCAGCAATAACGCTGCTGATAGGACAGAGTTTGACATGAGAAAGCAGTCTGGCTTTTTTAAGCAATTTGCTAGAAGGGGAATTCCGTTCTGAAACTTCCTGTATTGATGGTGTGATGTTCCCTGCTGATTCATTTGCAGTGTGTACAGCGGCCTCCCTGCACAGCTCTTGACAAACATATGCAAATCATAGTGGAAATTAGCTTTTACTTCCTTCTAAGGGAATTTTTTCTTGGCTGCTGCCAAATCAGATCAGCCTAATTAGCTACCTTTTGTAGACTTGAGAGTGGTAGCAAGGACTCAAAAGAAGAAAATCTCTGCTTTTCTCATTTAACTCTGAAAGACCATAGTAACCTGTGTCTGGCTATCTGTAGCACAACCAGTCTGACACGAGAGAAAATTTGTAGAACATCTTTCTTCTGATTGTCATTTAGGATTCTTAATGAAGATGTGTTAGGTGTCTCCTTAGGTGTTAGTTTTGATGTTAAATGGATAGTTCCTATAGAATAATTATTTTGGTCCAATTGTTGTAATGTAAAGCAATTGTTGTAATGGCTGCAGCAGAAGTGCGAGGGCAGGAGCAGAAATAGTCTTTCTAGTGCTACAGCTGTACTACAGTAACAGAGCTTCTTAGCAATGCGCCTGCTGGGACGTGAGCTCCTCAGTCACTGCTCATGGAGGAGCTCACGAGCATGCGAAGTGGTGGTGGGAGTCGAAATGTCATTCACGTGTAGACGGGAAGAGGAAGACTTGGGGCAGGGTAGTGCCCAGGTGGGGAAAATCTTACCGAACGATGAGACCGGTTATCTGCAGCACGGTACGTCTTACCAGAGTGTCATCCTGAAACGTAGGCTGTTCATCCCCAGAATGACAAATGGGGCTGTAACACAGAAATGTTGAAAATTTGCCAGAACCACTATCAACAGAAAAGCTGATTACACTCTAAATACTGGTACTTGTTAAACAGGAGTGGTAGTTTCCTCTTAAAAGTTCTGGAAAGTTATAGATACGACCTAATGAATAATTAAGAAGCAGCTTTTTGCGTTGGTATGTATGTCTGATGCAGTTGTCAGAGTTTGTTCTCCAACTGCCAGGTGCTGTTAAGATGTTTAGCACTGGTCCTGTCAACAGGAGATGTTGCTATTTTGCACAAATCCTGTGTTTGTGACTGACTTTTTGGGCCATAATATAGTGAAGAAGCATGTTTCCTCAGTTCTGATGTCCTTGACTGCATAAAATGTCTTGTTTTCCTTAACGTTACAAGCGAAACACCTAGTGAGGGTGCAGTTTACACTGGCAGAGGTTAGCCACTGGTGCTAGCTGGTGGAATAGCACAAAGGGTGTTCAAGATCACATTGTACTCAGGGCTAAAAATAGAGATGTAGAGTCCAGAGTTGAAGCAAAGGCTCTGTTTCAGAGCAGCTGCAACAGTTAGGGCTGCTTTCTCCCTCCTGCTGAGGATTTGGGTATTTATTGGTGTGCTGAGGGGCTAAGAGCAACAGTCATTCCGTGAAGACCTCAGTGCTGCTATTTACACGAGGTGAGCAACGAGGACCGATTGTGCTACTCTAACACCCCTTCACTAAAGGTTGCCTGATTTGCTGGATCCGTTTGCTTAGTGTCTTGCCTGACCAGTCTGTCTATAACCTGAATATTGTAATTCTCTATTTTTTTCTTTAATGCAGCCATGGAAATAAAGAAGTGTTCTCCTGTCGAGGTATCCTTCTGGCTGTCCAGTGGTTTTGGGACAGGGGACACAAGGATATTACAGTCTTTGTGCCGTCTTGGAGGAAGGAGCAGCCACGACCAGATGTACTTATAACAGGTGTGGAAATATGAAAACCAAAAGTAGCTTTTCAGGCTTTTTGCTTTGTCACTTAATGAGCTTGCAGTGTTCTGGCTAGTTAGTAATTAACTTATGAATGGAAGATCTGAGTAGTAGAGATCCAGTAAGCTGAGCTGACCAGTAAGAATTAGTAATTAACTTCTCCCCTAAGCAAGTTCTTGCCTGGATCAGTTGGAATAATTCAGAGAACAAAGAATGTAATGCTGTGCTGCTTCCTAACTTCTTGCCTTTCATTACTTGCAATTTTTTCCCCTTTCAGGGACAAGTCTTCATGCTATGTATTTGACTAACACATTTGACACTGTAAACTGTACAGAATTTCTACATGCTGAAAGCTAAAGCTTGATGAGAGTTTAGTCAGAATTATTCAAACTGAGGGGAGTTTTCTCTGAACTTGCAAACAGCTAAGATTTCTGTGTAACTCTGCTCGGAAATCTGTGCAATTTTTTCCCCTTTCAGGGACAAGTCTTCATGCTATGTATTTGACTAACACATTTGACACTGTAAACTGTACAGAATTTCTACATGCTGAAAGCTAAAGCTTGATGAGAGTTTAGTCAGAATTATTCAAACTGAGGGGAGTTTTCTCTGAACTTGCAAACAGCTAAGATTTCTGTGTAACTCTGCTCGGAAATCTGTGGCTGTAGTATGCCCCCCTGCCAGTCTGCATGCAGAGCGCACTTTGCATGCAGAGGATGCTGTGGGTGGGACTTGCCGTGTCGCAGCAGCCTCGGTGTGCGGTGAGTGTCCTCGGGCGCCAGGCAGGCACCGCGGCTAGGCACCCGCCTCTGGCAGCCTGGGGGAGAGTGTAAGGAGAGAGATGAGAATACAGGCCGTGTTGTGGGGAGATGAAATGACTTTACATGAATTTTGTCATTTATTTATAATGTTACGTTACCTGTGCGAAGGCCTTTGAGCTGTGTGTGTTCACAGTTGTGTTTGTTCTAGACCAGTACATTCTCCGTGACCTTGAAAAGAAGAAAATTCTGGTCTTCACTCCTTCCAGGCGGGTTGGAGGCAAGCGTGTTGTCTGCTATGACGATCGATTCATTGTGAAACTGGCACATGAGTCTGATGGCATTGTGGTTTCTAATGATACTTATCGGGACCTGCAGAACGAGCGTCCTGAGTGGAAGAAGTTCATTGAGGAGCGTCTGCTGATGTATTCCTTTGTTAACGACAAGTATGTTCCCATTCTTCTTTTGCCTTTCAAAAAGATCTGTACAAGCATACTGTCTTGTTTTAATGAAGCAATGGCAAGCGATGCATGAAAAGAGCAAAATGCTGGTGCAGAACGGGGATCAAAAATCCTGTAGAGGTATTTTTTGGTAGAAGGGAGTGTGGTGTGAAGAACTGTCCGGCTGTGGTGAAGTACAAAGGCATAAGGAATTGAAGTCATCTTAATAGCTGTTCATGGTTTGGAGCTAGGAGTTCTGCCACAGTGGAGTTCTTAGGAGGGCTCCAGGCCTTGATTTCCTCGCAGGACAATCACTAGCATGCCCAGCAACAAGTACTAATTCTGGTCAGCAACAGAGCACAAAACCTCTCCTGTGCCTGACGTGAAGCACTTTATGCCAGTCTTCACTAGGTGACAGGAGAGTTCTCACTGCAGTGAAATGGGAAAGCTTTTTAGGGCTCAGATAGCTTTTAACCTTCCGTCAAATGGGAGACTTCTAAAAGAAAAGAAACCCTGACCCAAGGAAGTAAACTGCTCCTGACTGAGATGAATTTTTCTTTAGGTTTATGCCTCCAGATGACCCCTTAGGGCGCCATGGCCCCAGCCTGGATAACTTTCTCAGAAAGAAGCCTCTGGTGCCAGAACACAAGAAGCAACAGTGCCCTTACGGTAAGACCTGCCTTCTAAACATGAAGACCGAGGTGTCTGTGCTAGTGTAATGCATGCGTTTAGTAAAATTCAGCTGGTCATTCCGTGCTCTGCCTTTCCTTGCAGGGAAGAAATGCACTTATGGAATTAAGTGTAAATTCTACCACCCTGAAAGGATCAATCAGCCGCAGCGCTCATTAGCTGATGAACTCCGAGCCAATGCAAGGTTGTCTCCTACCAGAAGTACCAGTTCCAAGGAGGAGAAAAAGGGCAAAAGAGGTTCCCAGGCAGAGCTCTTGTGCTCTGTGCCCACAGAGAGTGATAAAAGCTCTTTGCAGAAGGTCTCTGCAGAGAGGAAAAGCTTGACCCACAAGGCAAAGCCCGGTGATGTTCCGCTTCAGGTCAAAAGCTGTGTGTCAGGCAGTGTCCCTCCTAACAGTGGGAGCCATAGGTCCTCTGACAGGTACCAGCAGCCTCATATGGACTCTCTGTCTTACATCTCTCAGGAGCATCTCGACTCGGGCATTGGGTCTTTGGAGAACCAACTGTCTGACATGTGGCCTTACAGATCTACCAGTCACTGTGATCATTCCCATCCTGATCAGGTGGCAGTCTGCACCTGTGGTAGGCAGAGACCTGTCTACCCACATTCTCCCAGCTTAGAGCAAAATGGTCTGGTCTCTTACAAGCATGGTTCCCATAAGTCGTCCTCCTCTGGTGCTAGCTTCTTGCAGTATAGCCCTGAGATGTCTCACTCAGGACCACCTCACTCTTTCTCAGGCTATGGGGTACCTGTACACCCAGTTAACGCTGGGCAATACAGCCTGCCCAATGAGTATAATTCCCCTCCACCCCATTCTCGTGAGTACTGGTCTGAACCGTACCAGATGCCACCTCCTCAAGTGAGGTCTACCAGCGTGCGAGATCCCCGTTCAGTGCAGAGAGCGACGGGGCCCACGTACGGGGACTCCGGCCAGTGGGCTGTCTCTGACCAGTTTGCAGAGGAGCGGGCCAATGTGCATGTCAAGCTGTGTGGCATATTCCATCCCCATTTAGTTGATGCTGTGATGAGCCGTTTCCCTCGGCTTCTCGATCCCCAAAGGCTGGCTGCAGAGATACTAACGTACAAGTCTCAGCACCCAGGTATATGAGGCAGGTGCCGGGGGCAGCCAGGCATGTGAAAGGCTTCAGCAGCGGCGTTTGCACTCTGTAGCTGCCATAGATGTATTCTGAGGGCTCCTCCTTTTTCCTTGGCAGTACCAGGCTCTTCTTGGAGGCTGGATACCAGATGTGGTATGCTCACAGCAAATTCTGGCCTAGACATGGCAGTGTGCCCCTTGTAGAGCTGAGAGCACCCTGGGGTCCCGTCTTCCAGAGGCCGTTGAAGAGGCTGCAGCTTCAGAGCAGCGTTTTTCCTTTGGGACTGCATGGTCAGTCAGGCACACCCTAAATTCCTGCAGTTGTTCAGAACTGAACATGACCTTATTCCTCCCGTTAGCTTCAGTTTTGAGATGGCTTAGTCTGTGATCAGGCGTACAGAGGGAGGACTCTGGGGGGCTTGTGGAAGATGAGGGGTACTGCCTTTGCAGTGGCGTGAGACTTGTTTGCGGAGACTGAAATGCATTGTCAAGGCTGTTCTTGGCTCTTAACTAAGCCTCTTCACTAAATCTTACCATGCAGATCTGGAAACTGTTGAATTATAAATCTAGTATGAAGCTAGGTTTAGCTGACTTTAATTTGGTTTTATTGGTGCGCTTCTTTAATGATGCTTTCAGTACCCTTAAGCTTACCTTCCTGAGGTGAGGTAATTCTCCAACATGTACCACAAGTGCTTAGCAAGCTGCTCGGCTCCTAGCAATAAGAGGAGCTAGGAGTTCAGTGCTTTCTCAGGAGGAGAGGCCTGACACTGCTCCAGAGCTCCATGCGAGTCGTGTGTTTGGTATTTGCTGAAAAATGCAGCTGTCAGAACATGTGGGTGACCACGCTGTTGCTGCTGCTCCAGAGCACTGACCTTGCCTGGTAGCCTGTCGTGGGCTGTCTCTGCGCAACGCTGACAAGGAGGATTTATAATGTTGTGCCTTTTGTCTTCAGACAGCGATAGTTCTGAGCATTCAGTAAAACAGCTGTCGTCATGTCTGGCCTGCTGCCAGGACTGCTCCTGAGGATTCCTTAATATTTTTCTCTGTAAAGCTGTTGTTTGGTCTTCCTTCTACCCAATGTTTTCCTGTCCCCTTCAGCTTTGTCAAACTATAGCAGCATCCAAAAATGTAGAATAAGACTTATTTGGTAAGACTGTTCCCCTTTCACTCCCTCTTACTCTGTAAGGTGTTTTTTACTGTAGATACTGTAACAGATTTTAAATATGCAAAACCAGTTGCTGTAGTAATTGGTTCTGGTCCTGGTATTTCACTGTGCTTAGAATGCAAAGATGTTTCTTGCACTTGCAGGCCAGAAGCAGTTGATTTGTTGATACACATTGTATCTGTGTGTTTGGTTATGTTTTTTAAGTATGTCCATCTTGTGGTTAAACCAAGGTTGTTGAGTGGCAAACTGTGCAGGGGAGAGCGGAATACAGCTGTCTGAGAGCCCTCGTTGGGAGCGGCCGTGTCCGTTGCTGTGCTTCCCTCTGGCTGTCCGAGGCGTGGCCTACCCAGACTGGCACCATGTGCCGTGAAAACCACAGGGACGCAGAAACCTGTATACGTGGTTAATTATGATACATTACAAATTAGTAATGTTTCATGTTAGTAAGCAAAATGCTTCTTAATTTTAAGTAACCTGATACTTTGCATATTTGTAAATTACAGGAAAAATGGTTTTTAATGTTATTGTCCAGCAACTTGCTGCTTGATGCTGTTTTTAATTAGTACTATTCTTGACTCAGCCATTGTGTTACTTGGCGTGGTGTTTTTTGTTTTTTCTGGTGGAATGCTGATACATGCTTCTTCTCTTGCAATCGGAAGATTAACATTTTATACTCACAAGCTGACATTTTACTGAACTTTCTGTATCATTATGCAGTATGTAGTTTATGTACCAAATGGAGGCAGCCGTGTGAAAGCCATGGCAAAGTAAGAACTTGTATTATATAAATAAAAACTGCTGAGTTATTTGGTCTCTGGTGGCTCTTTGGAAGACCATTCAACATTTTGGCTGGCTTTCCAAGAAAGTCAGAGAACTCATCCTTCCTCCCTGGGGTTCCTCTGCCAGCCTTGGATCTGCATGCGCCGGCTGGTGACAGCAGCGGTCCGATGGCTGGGCACTGGCAGGGTTGGTGGCTGGCGCAGTGTGGCAGCTCCAGAGTGCTGCAGCAGATGACAGCGTGACAGCGTTGGCTGTTTATTCGGTGTTCCTGAAGGGGTGATGGGGGGAAGCAGTGCGGGCAGACGGCTCCAGCCGCAGTGGTGGTGGAGGTCTCGGGTGCTAAGGAACAGTACTCTCCTCATTGTTTTGGAATAAGTAGTGTGGGCTCTGCTTCAGTTTTAATGGGCAGTTCCACAGTACCATCTGGAAACAGGTTTATATTTTATTGGTTATACAGCACATCTGTGTCGGGTTGAGTGTGCTAATATGCGCACTGTAACATGTCAAGACTTTGCTCTAAAGCTTTGTTACGAATGGGGAAGGAAACGCAGTAGGAATATCAATGCTCACATTTCTGTACCAGAATCTTCCCCTCCTGCCTGCTGTGCTGCGGTACAGCATGTTCTTAGCTGACCTGTTAAATAACTTTATGGTCTTTATTAAATTAAGAGCATGAATTTGAATAGGGGGCAATGACTGTTTCCAGTTAATCAAAACCAAGGCAAGCAGGAGCTCCTGGAGACAGTGCTTTCTTTCAAAAACCAAATCTGACACCTTGCAGTCTGAAAGGTCAGGTACTGGCTGTGAGAGAGGAGCCCTCCAGAGGGTGTCATTATGGGGTGACAGTGAGCTCGTGTGGCTCTGTGTGTGATGGCTGGGGTCTTAGTGGGGAGGGGGCTAGCTGATGTGCTGTGGATTTGATCAGACCTTTTAACTAGGGGAAGGCTCTCTTGCTGTTTGTAGTGGGGTCTCTGGTTGAAAAATGCTGTAGGATTTTGAGGCTGGTCTTCCTGTAAAACACCTGAATGGATAGTTTTAGTTTTGCAGGATGTGTAGATGGAGGAGGAATGTTTATTTTTACCTCCTTCAAAGCTGAACTGATACAGCTAAAGGAATTGATGCAGAAGCACAGACGTTCACTACCATAGCCAGGAACGGAAGGGCTGGTGGTGGCTGAGTTTGGTTATGATGCTAAAGGCCCTTTTCCATTGCAGTGACAGTCCTGGTGGCACGAGGAGCAGTTCGGGAGGGTCAGTCCCTAACACAAAGCCAGGCAAAATTATTCCCGCGGGGCGCTGCTGTGTGTGCTGCCATGCCACCCAGGAAACCCAGCCGAAATCAGCCACTCTTTCTCTGAACTCTCTCATTCTCTCACACAAGGCTTCTGCGAGAGTGAACCCGCTGCCTCCTGCCCTGGAGCATCCCGTCTGTTGGAGCGTAAGTGCTGCTGTCCTGTGGGCCCGGGAGCTGGGGAAACGTGGGGAATGCGGATCGGAGCTGTCTCTGCTGCACATTTTCCCCCCTGCACTGGGTCAGAGGAGCTGCCTACCTGCACACCACGGGCTGCTGCGCTTGGGCAGCCTCTCGCTGTGCTGCTGTTGTGGAATTTTCAAGACACATCCTGTGGCTTACCGCTTCCTTGGGGTGCATCGGTGGGGAGGACCTGTCATGACTGCTGGGCGTCTGCATTGTGTTTCTTACCCATCTAAAATAGGTTACATCTTCTTGCCAGCTTACTGATCTATTAAAGTTAAGGAGGTCACACACAGGCACCTTGTTGAAAGCTTCCTTCGCTTCAGCAGGGTTGCCCTGCCTCCATCCTGTCTACGGCCCTGTGCCGAGCCCTGCGGGAGGCTGGCTCCTCTCGGAGCAGCTTTTCCTACCCCAACAGCATGAGGAATCACTGTTGTTCTCTTTGAAAGGAGGAGCTCCCAGGCTGCGCTGGAGAACGGCGTGCAGAAGGCTCCTGAAAAGTGTCAGGGCACAACCAGGGGAAAGAGGAGGAGAATTGCTGAGATGACCCAAGGCTGTTTCTGCTGGACAGTGGGGCCAATGGGAGCTGCGGAGGGGCTGTGAGCTCTGCAGAGCAAGTCTGGTGAGCCCGTCCATCGCTAGCGCTGCCCTTCCAAGCGAAGGTGCCACCCCTCACCCTCCAGCAGTGATCAGTCATCCTCCCTTGTCATCTGCGTCGCTGCCTGCTCCAGCCAGGTGCCTGCTCCTGGCAGGAGGAGACCGCTGCCCTGCGCCCTCCCCAAAACCTCGGGGCAGCGTAAAGGGGGCCAAGGAGGGGTGGTTTCAGGTAGGAAAAACTTTGATGTGGAAGTGAGGAGGCTGAGTGAGGATGCTTGTAAAGAGGAACGAGGGGTCCAGGAGTGTGTTTTGGGGATAAAGAACAGTCTTCTCTCTGCCTTCCCAGCTGTGCTGGAAATAGATGGATAAGGTAATTAAATCGCATCAAAGGAAAGGCTTTGCTCCCACTGCACAGACAGTGCACAGAAAGGACAGACAGGCAGGGGAAGAGCCCTCCTTCAGAAGTCAGTGCTGCAGGATATCTTGACTTTTATTTTTTTTTAAATCAATACTCAAAAAAGGGAAGGAAGAAATGGGAAGCTGTGCTGTGATAGAGGTCAGGGTGGAGACTGCCAGATTCTCATCTCTCCTTCCCCTGTGCTGGGCGATGACCCAGGAGGGACCCTGGGCAGCGGACGCAGCCCCCTGCTCCCAGCCCAGCGGGGATCAGGCACCCGGTGTCTGCAGGGCCGGGCTTTGCTCGCCTCTCCCCATGCCAGCTGCCTTGTGCCCTGCTCGCTCACTGAACCTTCATCTGAACCCATCTGGTTCTCTCCCATCGGGGGATTTCCAGGATGTGGCCAGCTCAACTCTAACATTTTAAGGCGTTTCCAGAGGCAGGAATCTGACCCAAGGCTCCCGTACAGGCTGTGGGAAAGGGGCCGCTGTGTAATGGCAGCAGGCGTGCGTGGGCTGTC